GTAAGACACATAAATGTACCCATTGTGAATATAAAACTATATATAAGGGGTATTTAGTTAGCCATATGATGAAACATACTGGAGCTAAGCTCAAGTGTACAAAGTGTAATGCGTCATTTACAACTACACTAGCATTAGACGATCACATTTTGCGGAACCATCCTGAGTTTACTGCTTCTGTATCTCGTAAGATACATAAATGTACACACTGCGAATATAAAACTACATATAAGGGGAATTTAGTTTGCCATATGATGAAACATACTGGAGCTATGCTCAAGTGTACAAAGTGTGATAAGTCATTTACAACCACACAATCATTAGATCATCACATTTTGCGGAAACATCCTGATGTTGCTGCTTCTGTATCTCGTAAGATACATAAATGTACACATTGTGAATATAAAACTAAATTTCCACACTGCTTAGCTAGTCATATGATGAAACATACTGGAGCTAAGCTCAAGTGTACAAAGTGTGATAAGTCATTTACAACCACACAATCATTAGATCATCACATTTTGCGGAAACATCCTGATGTTGCTGCTTCTGTATCTCGTAAGATACATAAATGTACACATTGTGAACATAAAACTAAATTTCCACACTGCTTAGCTAGTCATATGATGAAACATACTGGAGCTAAGCTCAAGTGTACAAAGTGTGAAAAGTCATTTACAACCACACTATCATTAGACGATCACATTTTGCGGAAACATCCTGAGTTGACTACTTCTGTATCTCGTAAGACACATAAATGTACCCATTGTGAATATAAAACTATATATAAGGGGTATTTAGTTAGCCATATGATGAAACATACTGGAGCTAAGCTCAACTGTACAAAGTGTGATGCGTCATTTACAACCAGACTATCATTAGACGATCACATTTTGCGGAAACATCCTGAGTTTACTGCTTCTGTATCTCGTAAGATACATAAATGTACACATTGTGAATATAAAACTACACATGCGCATTCTCTAGCTAGGCATATCATCAAACATACTGGGAGCTAAGCTGAAGTGTACAGAATGTGATGCATGATTTACATCCATACAATGATTAGACAATCACATCTTGCGGAATCATCCTGAGTTTACTACTTCTGTATCTAGTAAGATACATAAATGTACACATTGTGAATATAAAACTACATATAAGGGGTATTTAGTAAGCCATATGATGAAACATACTGGCGCTAAGTTCAGGTGTACATTTGCAAGAAAGGAATATTTAGAAAACCGCACTTTTGGGAAACAGCTTGAGCTTATCGCTTCTGGGAGCAAATTGAAAAAATCCCTGGATCGTACCAATTTCAATATGTCGAATTATGATAACTATGAATGCTGTAATGAGATATTTGATTGTAAATCGACATTTGATGATCACGTAATAGAAAATCATGCAGATATCATTCGATGAACTATAACAAAATATCGTGTAAAATACCGATAATGATCTCATTCAGAAGAATATACTCATAGAGGATATCCTGAAAGTTGGGATTTTCATTTCAAGGAATAACTACGTTTGAAATAACAAAGCTAATGTGCGGCAAAATAGCAGCGAAAACGTAAGTAAGAAATTGAAGAAAAATACTCGCTATTAATATTTTCAAGTACTGCCCTGTTACATGTTTGTAAACACTGCTTGTCGTAGTCGCTGTTCGATTCAAAAACACGAGTTTGTTTAGTTATGAACTGTGTTTAACCAGACGACTTTTGCACTATAAAAACAGACATACGAAAATCTTTTAAAGTTCAAATATCGCTCGTTACTTCTCTACGCTACTATTTAGGGTTTTAAAATATAAATCTCCGAAATATCTTTTTGACACGTTAGAGAAAAGATCTTCACTCCATCAACTGTTCCTCCGTAATGAATATTGTTATAATATACCAGCCCACACTACCTCAAAATTCAAAAAATGTTTCTATTACATAGCTCCCAGTATACTAAATGATTACCCAAGTTTCTTTCAATTAACGTCCATTCACAGCTTCAAAAGAGAATTCAAAAGAATGCTATTACAATTACAATTTAATGAATCTACAAGTGGCTGAATAAATCTCACTATTAATCTTATTATATTTTAAAGTTTTGTTAGCATTATTATAGTCAACTACATATCCTTTATGTAATGTATATGATATACCTTAGTAAGATATAGTAATGCACTTAATGAATTTACCTTAGCTATTCAGGCGGGGGTGCAAAATGGCTATGCCAATCCCCAGCCCTTTGGAGTATTATTTTTTTTGTGTTATATTATTTGCTCGTATTTTGATTCTATTATGTATTAATACTCCAATAAACATTATTATTTATATTATTATTATATGGAGCTCTGATGGAAAGAAACATCGAGGACGACGGTGACGTTTTGAGAGCACTCGCGGGGTATCAATAGGATTTTTAAGAGGCTCATATCAAATCGATATCTTCGTTATTGCTTTAGGAAAGAATGAGGGTATTACACGGACAGCAAATTAAAAAAATCTCTTGAAGATGGCATTTGATGAGATGAGTGGGGAGATGGGCATGAGCTTCGACAGAAGGAGCACGTATCTATTCGCTCAGCCCTACAGACGTACGAACTTTTTTATTTATCAACGATATTTTTATTTCCCGAATTGTTCGCTACAAGTTGTAAATCAGCAAGGAGGCCTCTATGTTAGCAAATAAAGTGATAACGCAGTTAACGCTGTCTTTCTACCCCTTATCCCTAGTCAGCTTAGCTGGAGAACTATTTCATATTTGACAATGCGTCTATTGTAGCGTTTTTCTGGGTTCTTTTTGGGTGTGGATTAAAACACTGGATTCCACAAAAAGAAATGCACTAATTTATTTAACTGGATGAAACATTTATATGCGCCACTATTTATGTCTGACTAATTCTTATGTTACCATTCACTGCACTATACTTCTCGCTCTGCTACTCCACCGTAATCCGTACTCTCTGCCCCATCTCCCGGCCGCCGAGTTATATATAGTTCAATTACCGCGGCGAGGAAACCACAAAGCGATATCTAGAATGTTGGAGATCACTTCGCGTCGATCGGTCGTGATTCGCGTAAAAGTAGAGATCGACCATGAAGCTCTAGCGAGTAGAAGACTCGCCCAACAGATGGCGCCGACAGTATGATTTGTCACACTATCAACCACAAACGCGCAATTTTGAATTACAAATGGTTTCTACTCGTAGATAGAAAAACTTTAAGGCAGCACCTGTCAGCAGTTTTTTCCAGTGTACCCGCTGAAAAACTTGCCAGCTGTTGTCACCAAAAATTACAATACCTTTGATACCAAGTAATTATGGGTAAGGTATGTATGTAGAATAGTGTTAGTGTGAAAAAAATTATATGCCCTTATGATAATACTTATGAAAACACCGTCTTACTTCCTATGCCAAAGCCGTCTATAATTTGAGAAGTACCGGTCAGATTTTGATAAAATTTTCACACAAGGTTGCTACTATGCTAAGGATGAGAAAGCTTTGTAGCTTTTGAAAATCCTATGAAAAATGCTAGGGGTTGAGGGTTGAAAGGGGTAGGAGGTTGTAAATGTAGTATTAGTCAGACGTTTTATCACTCAAAAGTTTCTGATCCCTGTAACAACTGGAAAATTAAATGATAAAAGTCTGATGTATAATGTGCTCATAAATATCTTGGCAATGCGTGCACGGAGCGATGCTGCGTCGTCGTGGAGGCCACTGCCGACTGTGCAATCGGTAACAGATTCCAACTGGTCTGTGGTGGTGTCATCACTGACACATCGCTACGGGAGGAATATTTATAAATTTTAAGTTATATATTCTGGCAATATTTGGATATCAGGAGTACGTACCATTTTAGTGTTCTGCGATGCTTTTGTAAATGATGACTTTAGTGTTTTTATATGTACACATGTATTTTTCTGAATTTTATGATCTTTAAATGGTGTATACTGTTGGGCAATATATGCTTTATTACTATTATTATTATTATCTCTGGCAGAATTGATGAAATCCCATTTCAAAAAGAGTCAGGAGAAAATACGATTTCGGGAAGATTTGTTTTAATTCTGACATTCCGAAAATAATCCGAACTTCAAAACTTTCTAAGTGCCACTTTCATAGTTACCTAAATGCACAACTTTACCCCATAACCCTGCCTCTTACCGAGGTCCGAGTTTTGAATATCTTTCAAAAATTGATTAACTGCGGACCTACGGGCAAACGAAAATAGTTGAAAAATCTCCGTTTTCAACGTTCCAGTCCGTGATAGATTTTGACGTTTCACAGTTTTAAGAACAGTTAAAAAAAAAACCTTTATTATTTTATTGTGACATATTTTTATAGGTGCGAAATAGATTATGCTTAAACTATAAAAGTCAATGGAATTCTCAAGCATTTAGTAAATAGTTTTTTCATCATCCATTCTCAAATCCCTAGACCTAGGTGAATATTAAAAAATCACAAGAAGTGACAAATCTGTACAAATGGGACAAAGATTCGGGATGGTTTCAGAATTGCACGCCTAAATACACTTTTGAACGCCTTCTCGATTGTACATATAGTAGGAAATTACAAGAACTTATAACGCGGCTTCAAACATTACATCTTTAATAATTACTGTAACGGAACCATGATGTTTTAAAAAAATCATAACCTTTTAGGATTCTTAATTGCGCGAAAGATTCCCTTAATTTTGTGTGACAGATAAATTGATTTTTAAAATACTCAAGTTTTTGCCGACTGGATTATCTCCTTTGACTCGTATCGTATCAAGATAAGACAATCTTAAGTTACCATGTGGTGACATTTAAATATTTTATTTAGCTAAAGTGAATCAAACAGAGAAATCTAGTCAAAAGGTATACTATTAATTGTTCTCCAGTAGATATTGCCAGCGCTGTTGAGTTGGAGGCATCTGTAATTTCTGAGTGAATGTTGAAATCTGTATAAAAAGTAGATACTTCTATTTTTCACCAACAGATGACAGAAGGCACGACACAAGTCACAAGTGACTGAGTCCAGTGTAACTTATGTCACAGATTATAGTTGTTTTGTGGGTGATCGAGTGAGCGTTGTTGTTTTTAAAATGTGATTTTTGAGTATCCAGCAATGGTAGTTTCTTAGATTTGAGGTCTTTAAGTAAATAATCTGCGATAGGATTATTTTTTAATTCTTTATATGTGATATATCCTGAAATGAAGACTGAACATTCAATAAGTCGTGTAGAGGAACCATATAGCAAGAGGAGCATGAGTTCCAGTTCAACATGTTTAACATTGGAAAGGTAAGAAATGTAATAATAGTTGATCATAGGAGATAAAGAAAGTTTCAAATAGTTTTCTTATTGTATGCTAGAATGAGGTGTCTCTATCTAGCATACAAGTGCAAATTTAGGAGCTTCAAAAATAGAGTTCCTAATGGGGTGACGTTCATCTTACGGGGTTTGATAACTACTTCCAGTTCCAGTCAGGTCAGGTGAAATATACGTCACATAATGCCATAATAGCAAACAAATGCAAGAAACAAAATAGTGTCTAAATATTACAATATTGTTGCTGGTTTCTACTAAAATTTTAGCTAATTAACATGGGGTCAGATTGATCACCCTATTGAGGTGAGCTTGATTACTCCTCTGGGGTGGCATTGACCACCAGATTTTTATTTTCAAAATAATTGAATATCCCTACGTAATATATCAAAATAACGATCTATCACTCTTTAGTTTAAGGTATTCTCAAAATTTTTGGTACCTTACATATTTGATGGTGAAATCTGACCCCATAAGATTAAATCCACTATAATTTCCCAACCATTTGACAAAAATGACCTGGGATCAATCACCTTGTTCACCAACTAACACAATTATACCTATTTCTACACTGGAATTTATTTGTTGTTCAAAGTCACCCCAAATAAAGCTGATTATGTAGTTTTTGCTTATTTTTGTGCAAAATAAGCTCCTCCCATAATGAGCAATAATGAAGACAGTTTCGAACGGAGCTATTTTTCTTCAACTTTATGGAATGTATCCAATTGTATCTGATTTCAAAAAGATATTCCAATATAACGATTGTAAGTGAACAATTCCACCCCATTTCACGGTACTTCTTTTATAAATATGCCATCGTTTAGTATGTTCTCCAAGGAGATATTCTGCCTCATGTTGTACGTAGTCGTGCCATAAGTTCTGTCCCATGATAATCTCATGATAAAAATGAAACAAGATAAGATATATTTATATGAAAGATATTATTTATTCGACAACATTTTTAGAATTCATAATCAAACTGTTTTATTCAAAATGTCCCCCCTTGGCCTTCACACACTGCTTCAATCTCGCGGGCCACTCATCTATCACTGCACGCACAGCTTCCAAAGGAATAGCTGCCGCTGATCGGATCAAATCCGCTTTCAGGGACTCGATATTACGGTGGGCTTTGGAGCAGGTCAACTGCTCTAGCAGGTCCCACAACTTGTAGTCTAAAGGATTGAGGTCCGGACTCCCTGAGGGCCAATCTTCCGCAGCAATGAACTCTGGCACATTGCTTTCCAGCCAGCGCTGCGTACTCTTAGCCTTGTGAGCGGGGGCGGAATCCTGCTGGTAGACCCAGTGTTGGTTGGCAAACAATGTACCACTTAAAGGCTTGACGATAGGATCCAGTATGTCGCTCTGATAGTTTGCCGCTTTTGTTTTCACGCCCTGTTTACAGAAATGGAGCTGAGTGACCCCTTCGTAGGACACCCCCCACCAAACCATGACTGACGCAGGGTGGTGGCCTCTCTCAACTCTCGGAATGATCTCCGAAGCTTCCTGTGAACTCCTTGCATACACTTTGTCATTTTGTCGGTTGAATTTTTCTTCTATGGTGAAGATTTTCTCATCCGTGAACAAAATCTTTCGGAATCCCCCAGCTGCGTACCTCTCCAAGAGCTTCTTGGATCTTGTCGCCCTGATGTGTCGCAAGGTGGCCGTAAGTCGCTGGCCCGTACGTCTCCGGTAAGCCCCTAGCCCTAGGTCTTGTTTAATGATGCGCGACATCGTCCGGACAGGAATCTTCATTTCCCTGGATAGGATCTTCTGCTTCCGGAGTGGATTCCTTTGAATCCTGGCTTTTATGGCTTTGATGGCTGCTGGAGTCCTTACTTGACGAGGTCTTCCGCTTCTTGGCCTGTCATCAACAGAGGACGTCTCATTGTACCGCTGAATGGTCCTAGACACAAATTTACGCGATATTTGAAGGCCGCGTAAGAGTTCAAAAATCTGACTAGCACTGTGATTACACTTATGTAAAGCTATCACTGCAATACGGTTCTCTGCCTTGCCCCACTCCATCGTTATGCTTCGAGAGATCAATACAAACTGAGGTATATGTAATTACCCGAAAAGCGCTTAATCAACTGACACCACAATGTAAACAATCGGACAAGTATTAACAGGTCTACACTTGTTTGAAAACGAGGGACAGAACTTATGGCATGACTACGTAATTAGATATTCACATACAATTTTAACCATCACAGCCATTTTGCCAAGTAACTAATTCCATTTGCAGTAATAAAAACAGATTCCACTTTCCTTTTACAGAAAATTGTGTATTCTGAATTGCAACATTAGCCTCCCAAGGCAAGATCACCTTTCAACCTTGTTCATAATTATTCCTAATATTTTATATTCTCATCTCAATGGTAGAGAAGGAAATCCCTTCAACAACTCCAAGAAGTGGCAACACTGGCGCCTAGAGATGGTGCTCGACAGTTATAGTAATATTATTTTAGTGTCAAAGATGAACACTGGGATGGAGTTAACCAGGTGAAAATGGAGAATCAGTTAGTAGTTGAGGTTAAATCCGAAAAACCAGAAGCAGAACCAACTGTGAATAACACAAAGTTTGAAAATATGGACATTTGGACGCTAAATGAAGGGTTTGACATCAAAAATGAATGGGAAAATGATGTATCTGATAGGTGGGCCTAATTTTGTGTTGGATCTATTCAATTCAATAAATACCTCAGTCATTTATACAGGGCATTCATTAAAAATGTTTCCCTATACTCAATTTTCGAACAGGTCAACTTAGTAGGAGTTTGGGATGATAAAATTAATGCACAAGTACTATAGATATGTTAGCTTATTAGAAATTTCAATATGGTTGTTGAGTGCCATCTTGAAATATTTTTTGAAGATTCATTAGGAGCACTTCATGTATATAGAATATAGCTTCAGGCAGTCCGAGTTTAATTTCATATGCATTACAAAATTTTTTTGGTGTCCCACCACATTTCTGAGGTACCAGTATGTCAACAATTAAGTTCAATTTGCTATAGAATCGTAGAGCTATTATCCAAGAAACCTATAGAACATAAAAAAAAAAAACGACAAAATGTCGGGTACTTGACATCACAAAAAAAATTCTATAAAATGTAAATGACTGGAAATAAAAAAATCGAAAAATGTAAGAACTATTTTACGTTTCATAAATATTCCTGTATGAACCATATTTTCTCACCTGTTTGTTTTAATACACCTCACCAACTAGATATATTCTATTCTTATTACCATTTTTTTTGAATTCCAGATGATTTGCATATGTAATTTCTGAGTTGTATAAGAAAAAGCGAATGTGCAACTAGTTTTTAGCTTTGCATACATCTCAAGTAAGTGTATTTGAGACAAGAAACCAATGGAATTATCATCAACACATATTATTAGCACACAAATCCTCACTATGAACCTATGGACTGCCGTTTCCATCTAGCTATAGTATACAACTTTCAGCTTAAATCTCCAATAATGCCAACTCTGAAGTAGATGTTATATCACATCAGAGCCAAACAGTAATAACTGAAACATCATGATGTTTGAGCAATACATACACAAGTATTCAAAGTTGACATCGTGTAGAAAAACCTACAAGATGAGGCATCAAACATCAAAAGAATGCTCCAAGGTGGGGCCCTACCGTCATTTTGAAATGTTCCACTGCCATCCTAACAATAACCGTAATCTTTATTTACAAATAGAAATGCTATACAACTGCTGAAACCACTTCTGATAGCGTCAAGCAAACAAAAGTAATGATAAAATGTTGCTCTGAAGCATATGAGTCAAGTTTATCTTGAAAAAGTCATCGATTGTCATTGTTGAGAGGTCCTTTTCCAAATAACGCTAATCTATGCTCAGGATAAATATAGTTAAAAAAGCTAAAATATAGTATTCATGCATGAAATTCGTCACCCTATTCAAAAAATAGCTGGGAAGGGAAACCTTTTTGACTCGTCTTGTAAATTGACTGCGCTGTATTAAAACTCCCTCTTTATTACCATTTTAGAATTAAAGTTGAAGAGAAATTAGAGCCTGGACTTGAAGCTGATTCGGCAGCAGCTACAGTTAATCAGATGAAAATGGAGTTCCAAGAATCTGAAAAGCTGGAAGAAAAACCAGAATTAAGGAGCACAAATCTTGAAAATATGTACGCCTTAGGGCTACATCACGAATTTGTCATCAAAACTGAGAGTGACCAAGATGACAGACATGATTCGGCGTCCGATAGGTGAGTCTCCTTCAATCCCCCAACTCTATGGGATGCCCCAAAATGATGAATGGATTTCTAGTATGCAAGGTGTGTAATAAAATTTCGTAGGTTTGGAAACTCTGATCAACACGCTACTGAAATATGATGAGTTTACAGCTGTTTTCATTGTTTACTTGTTAGACGTATTTTTATGATAAGTATAATTTATTGGTTTCAATCTTCATAATTCAATTCACCAAATTATACTGTATTTACATCGTTCAGTCAGTGATTGTACTTTTAGCTTTTAGTTCTAACAAACCCAAGCACAAGCAAACTTTTTTGGGTACTTTGTTTGTTGTGCACGATACTTAGGATTTATCTATACTTTGTCATATATATATATATAGCCAACTTTCGAAAAAATTGAAAAATCGTTTTTTTAGGATAGTCCAAAGATCAAAAAGATACATAAAGAAATTTCCAAGATCAAAAATTGAGAATCTAACATAGCGCCAAGTTTTGCTAAAAAAAACCTTACTTCGTTTGCTCACCTTGTATAAGTGTATAAATAAAAGAAATATACCGATCGTGTAATAACGAGATTTGAATTTGGGTAAAATTTTCCATGTTACACAGCAACTGTCCATCAGTTTAGTTTGTGATGCACTTAATGCCATTATGATTGCCTGACTGTCTGAGCAGATGGCGATCGACTGATTTGCCGTCTCATTTCTTATTAGCTCTTTTGCGCAGACTTGTATGGCCGTTACTCCAGCCTGAATGAGACTATTTTAATAATAAGTCAATTTATGGTATACATAAATCAAATTCAAGCGGATAACCAAATGGAAATGGTATTTACCATTTTGGGTTGGTATTTACCGATTCGTTCAAGCGAGTGTAGTTATCAGTTTGGTTATAAGATCCGTGACGTCACGAATCAGCTGTTATATGTCATAGTTATCACCGCAAAATTGTGGTATTTACCCAACTCAAGAGTAGTTTTATATTTCTGGTTATTATTTGAAATGTGACAAGTGACAAGTTAGTTCCTATGCTTAACAAAGTATCCTGTGTAGCCATATACCACAAGAATATTAAAATATGGCCATATAAACTCACTAGATGATATCCACCTGTATACGATTTTGCTAATTTCTTTTTTCATCATTTCTGCTGAATCAATAAATGTTTTTTTTGATATGCGGAAAAATTTAGAGAATTGAAAGTTATCATAGCTACAAAGCCATGGTTCCATCGTTAAAAAAAATCTGAAAAAATCATTTCTCCCATGAATATTATGAAAGGTTTCTTATTTAAACTTTCCATATACAGTTGTAGACGAAAAAGCACCGATTATTAAGTGATAATAAAAATAATCAGAGATTATATACGCGCTTTTCTAAAATAAACAACTTGCAACAAAACCGCGGTTAAAACCAACGCGTTCAAGCGATTCGTGTAACTGACGTCCTCAACCCGTGTGTCATCTTGAACCATATTATAACCGCGGCACATAACACAAAAATTTTGGTTATTCGCTTGGATTTGATTATAATATAGAACACAAAAGAATGTAAATTTCTGTAAAAAAAAATGTCTATGAGGCTCGTCTAAGGAGATACAGGCACCTAAAGCACGCTACTGGAAACCGGATTTTTTAACCAATTTTTGAACGAAACTGTAGAATTAGCAGTCTAGTAATTAGTAAAATATTCACATGAGGAACAAGAAAAATAAGTTGTTTAGCTGCTATATTTGTAACTACGAGCACTCAGTGAAGTTGGCCCAACGATCAAATCTACGTTTTTTATGAAACTTGTCATATTAGTGGAAACGTATTAAAAACTAAAATGTATTTCTGATAACATACCTACAATATTTTTATTTAATATTTGCCTAAAATACTATATTTTTTAACAAAAAAAAATATCTTACAAATTAAACATACTGCCGATTAATAAAAATCAACAAAACCAAATACGAGGCAAATCACCACTTGCGTTACAGCGCCTTTTGGACTAATTACTACATCCAATCTTTTACTTTTTTAGCCGTATGATAAGCGGTACCATCTTGTTTGAAGATACATTCAACATTGTTTACACGCATTTGTCCAATTTGAGGTATTAAGTTATTTTGACACATTAATGCACTTTTCAGTATTCATGATACCTTCCACCAAGTGCAAATTTCCCACTCTACTTGCTGATATGGATCCCCAAATCATAACATAAGCCGGAAACTTTGCTTTTTTTTCTGAAACACTTCTTTAGTACTTATGACACCACATCTACTGTCACGAAGGCATACTTCAAATCTGGCTTCATCACTCTACATCTAAAAAATGGAGTTCCATCAGTTCGGAGACCATAATTTGTTTTCTTTGGCCAATGCTAGTCTGTTTTTCTTCTGAATCTTTGTCAGTAAGGGCTTCTCTTTTGCCAAGAAATACTGTATTATAAGTGAATAATAAAAAAATAATGTAAGCCAACCTTGTAAGTTTTAAGTCCCAGTTTTTGGGCAGCTCTCTGGCAAGTTGCTCTTGAAAACTTTTTTGTGGTTGCCTGATTCCATGATCGTTTCAATTTGTTATAATTAGCTCGCCAATTTTTCTTGATAATCCGTTTTAAGGCTCTTAAGTTGATATTGGAATAACGCGGGTGACATCAAGTTCTGGGTTTTTGAGCCACAGATTCCGTTGTTTTGAAAATTTAATAATATTTATTTATTTATTTATTTATTTATTTACAAATTTACGGGATAAACCCATTCGGTTACAGGTTGTAAAAGTACAATCTTAACCTAATAAAATTCACACACATCTTAAATAAAGAATCTAACATATGAACATAAAGTTTGACTATTTACTAAATTAAAATATTAAAATATTAAAACGTGCATAAAAATAGTTACAAACAAATACTAAAAAAAAAAAACTAAAAAAACTGAACAACTAAACAACACAGCAAACATCACCAGCAATTGAGACATTTTAAAACTTTAGCTAAGATTTCTATCTTTAAGGAACTTTTTGAGAGAGCATAGTGAAGTATTAAAAAGGTCTATATCACAGTCATTACAATTTCTCATTATCCTATCCATGCTACTATTCGAGCCATACAAAGTTCTATGCCGACAAGGTTCAAAGGATCTGCGTCCTCTTAAATGCCTAGGAGAAACATAAAAATTTAGCTTTAGAAGCAGGTCTGGGCAGTGGTAAACACCATGAATTAATTTATAAGCAAAAATAATATCTGCTGAATCTCTCCTGGCTCTTAGGGATCCAATCCTTAACTCCTTTTCAAGAGCATTATAGTCTAAATTCTCAATAGAAATGTGTTTTTTGTAAGCTATATATCGTAGAAATTTTCTCTGAACCCCGTCAAGCATGTCCTGATAAGTTACATAATATGGAGACCACACGCTGCTGCAATTTTCTAGATGAGATCGCACCAGTGAAGTATAGAGAGTTACTATAGCTCCAATGTTAGTAAATTCAGATGTATTTCTTTTTATGAAGCCCAACATTTTTAAAGCTTTATTTCTTATAACCTCTATGTTCTGATAAAATGTTACTTTGCTATCAAATATAACACCCAGGTCTTTAACAACATTCACATTTTGAAGTTGGGTATTATTTATGTGATAACTGCTGACTATATTATTGTTAGACTTTGAAAATTGAATGTATTTACATTTGTCTGTGTTAAGGATCATTCTATTTTCTTCACTCCATTTAACAAATTGATCAAGGTCACTCTGAATCTTTAATGTTGAGTTATTATCAGAAAGAGGTAAATAGATCTTGACATCGTCAGCATAGATAAGAAAAGAACAGAATTTAAAACATTGGGCTATGTCATTGACAAAAATTATAAATAAAATGGGTGCCAAGTGCGCACCTTGTGGTACACCAGACAAGACAGCAATTGGATTTGAGAGACAGTTTTTAATTTTTACAAATTGCTCTCTTTCAGAAAGGTAAGATCTTAACCAGTTCAATAAACTTCCATGCAATCCGTAACAAGAGAGCTTTTCAATGAGAATATCTATATTCAACTTGTCGAATGCTTTCCCAAAATCTGTATAAATTGAGTCAACAGATTGCCCATTTTCCAATGCCTCAACTATATGTGAATGATAAACTAAAAGGTTAGAAGTTATAGATTTTCCTTCACAGAAACCATGCTGCTGTGCAATTATAACATTTTTAAATTTTTCCTTCAAAAAATCTGCTACAAATGATTCAAAAACCTTTGGAATTAACGATATCAATGTAATGGGCCTGTAATTTTCAACATTCTCTCGATTTCCACAATTTTTAAAAATTGGAATAATGTAGGAGGTTTTCCATTTCTTTGGAAAAACTCCCAGGGCTAAAGATTTATTAAATAAAATCCATAAAGGCCTAGACAGTGAGAAAGCACAGTTCTTAAGAAACAATGCACTCACACTATCAGGACCCGGTCCCTTTGACAAGTCCAGGCTAGCCAGCTTTTCACAAATATCAGAAATTTTTATATATACACTGCTCAAATTTAAGTTTGGCGAGCTGAACCTTTTTGCAACAGTGCTAAGGCTCTGTGAAGGACTTGGTGTTTCATATACACTAGAAAAATGTTTAGCAAAAGCATTTGCAATTTCTTTGCCGCTATCAAAAGTTTCCTCATTATACTTAACAATTGATGGAATACTATTTTGATTATTTTTAGACTTAATGAACTTCCAGAAAACATTAATATTACCTTTTAGATTATTCTCAATATTTTTTATATAAAGACTATAATCTTGGTGAACCTTTTCTTTGCACAATCTGCGTAAATGACAGAATAAACCATAATCAATATTAGAATTAGTTCTCTTATATTTTGCATGCAGCTCTTTTTTTTCATAAATCATACTTTTGAGTTCAGGACTAAACCATGCAGGAAATTTAAAATTACTTTTTATTAGCAATCTTGGCACATAAGTATCAATACAATCATAGAGAACAGCATAAAAACATTCAACATCATTATCCAATTGATCAACCAATAAGGCATCCCAGTTAAAATTAATTAATAAATTGTTGATTACATTAAAATCTGCATTTTTAAAATCATAGATTTGTTCTTCAAATTGCAAAGGTTTATAAGAGCTAATATTTTGTATACTTACAACAAATGCTGGGTGATGTTTGTCACATGGCAGAAGTATATCATTAGCACAATTTACTTTAGTAAAATTAGAGTTATTGGTAAATACAAGATCTAGTAAAACATTGTTACAATTTTTTATCGAGTTTATTTGAGTGCAGTTAGAAAACAGCATGGAGCTAACAAGAAGATCACCGGAGGCATTCCGTCTACCAATACCATTATCATGGAGGTTGGTTTCATCCAACATCTGAAGATGGGGCAGGTTGTAATCTCCCATGATGTACATGACATCAGAGCTATCACTGAAGTTTTCAATATTGTTGCAGTGATTTTCATATTCCACCAAATTGCTAAGGGGAGGAAAATATACTGCACAGAAGTAGGTGGACTTAATTTTACCAATAGATACAGAGACCCACACCTCTTCATGCCCAGATGTCAAATTCCTCAATTCGACTTGGTGCGATTTTAAACTTTTTGTGATCGCAATTAAAACACCTCCTCCTCTGGATTTGCCTGTTGCTATGTTGTCTCTGTCACATCTATAAATTGAGTAGTTCTGTAGCCCTAGTTCCGAGTCATTAAACTCTGGTGTTAACCAGGTTTCACTAAGTATAATTATATCATATGATGCCATGGACACATTGTTTGAAAATTCATTCAATTTAGTTCTGATGCCTCTAATGTTCTGGTAATAAATCCTAATATCATTGATAGGGTTAATTCCTGCGCCGTGGCTGGGCCTGCCTTTTAAAAAAGCGTCTACCTTGTGCTGATGGTAATGGTTGATTTCTTCTAGGGAAATTGAATGGCTTGACAATCACATTTTCAGGCCATATGTCGCTATTAAATAATGTATTCTTGACACCAGGTTTCACGGAGAGCTTAAAAGATGCCACATGTTGGTTCTGAGACGACAGTTTCTCACAGGTTAAGGCTTCAATGTTGTTGGACTTAAGATAATTTATTAATTGATTAGTTGTGGTTCCTGCTTCCAGGTTGCCTATATAACACCAGAACTGTTCCTCCGCTGCTACAATTCCAGTTGAAGTTTTGTTTGTACCCCTGACAAGAGTGTTAGAGTTACCAAGTTGTTTAGGACCTGTTGAATGTTCAGATTGCTTGATCGGACCAGGTTTAATGGAGAATGCAGTTGAGCTTGGAGGTCCATTGATAGAAACCAATGCATCATTGATAGCTTTACTCGTTTGCTCTTGTGTGATTTCATGGACTATTGGGGGCTTGGACAACTTACTTGCATATGTCTTCATCTCAATCTTCATGCAATTGAGAAGTTCCTTATTAGTTTCCTGGATCAAGTTAAGGTGTGAGCTCAAGGATTTGGTTAGCTCATTGTTGATCTTTTCAGTGAAGAACAACAATTTATCGTCAAGTTTATCGTGCAATAAAGAAGTGATGGATAGTGCATTCTTGTCTGAAAAGTTGTCATCCTTGTTTTTTAGGGATAAGTCTTCCAGAGATTTTTGTAATCCATCATGAACTAATTTCACTGCAGCCCTGTCTTTGTCCATATCAGCCTTATTTGCCTTCAGTTGCAGTTCATTTTCAGTATTCTTTACTCTCGCCTTGAGATTTGAAATCTCCTTCTTATGCAATGAGATTTCCTGCTGTAGGGATTGAATTTGCTTAAATGCTTGTAGTGATTCCTTGAAGAGCGGTTTACATTCAGGACAGGTGTAGACTAAAGTCCTATTAGAACTGGGGATTACTCTAATTTCTTGCGCTTGTAGAGAGTTGCATTTTTCACATATGACTCGGTTACATAAGTCACAGGGATAGCCAAAAGTTCTGATCTTCTCTCTATCCTCCTTAAATATACATTCAATATTGCACTTAAAGCAATTAGCCATTGAAAATTATTAATTAATTATTTCAAACTGTATGCCTCAATTTGTTAATACTGACGGCGATTTGAGAAGAGTTTTGACCTTTTAAATGCAAGTGAAGATCAGTTTTCTTATTTCGTCAGAAACATCTTATTAATTGACGACAACAACACCAGTGCATTGAAAGTTGATTTAAACGTCAAAAATCAGCTTCTTAGCAAAGTAAAATGTTATCATTTGTCTTACAAAGCCTACCTTTATGTTATCGAAGCTAATAAACAGGAAATTCAAATAAAGTCATCACCATGTATTTTGCTATACACAAATCATTTTGCAAAGAAGACAATTTCGAAATAAGTACGCTTTAAAAATAGCCGCGTTGCTTACTTATCTTTCCATAAACATTTAAAGAAACCACAAACATATTTGGGAAAATAAGGATCTCTGTAAGTTTTGTTGTATGAAATGCAATGAGGTGTTCAAACACAAAGCAACGCTAGATGATCATGTGAATAGGAAGCATGTCTGATCTATTGCATCAGTTTCATTTAGAATACATGAATGTACATTCCATGATTACGAAACCGTTCATAAAAGTAATATAAGCGGGCATATGTCTGACCTGCACATATGCAAATATTGTAATAGGTCATATTAAAAAAAGGTATCTCTATTTGACCATGATCTAATCCCAATATCAGAACTTTAGCGAACAATTTCTAGCAAGATATATGAATGTATGCATCGTGAATTTAACCCTGGAACTGCACACTGGGGTCTGAGAAAGCCAGGTATCCCCTCTCTTGTAAGTGCTTCGAAGAAACGTAAATAGTTCGGCTGGATAGTTCGGTGTAAATTCAGTCTGTAGTGAGGAGAGACAGTGCGTAGACGTTGGCTGTTATTTGTGCTATCTATCCCGTCCGAATATTGACTAACATCGGTGAATGGGTACTGCAGACCCCAGTGTGTGGTTTACGTTGATAATATTTATTTTGTATTTTATAGCTATGGCAAATTCTGACTGGGAAAATTGTCGTCCCTTAACGCAACGTGAGTTACAAAATGAGGTCGACAATGTGTGGCAAAATGAAGATGAGGCAGATAGTGACGAAGACTTGTTTGGTGAATTATCTGACAGGGACGAAGATTATGTCGATGAACAACAGTCTGGTACTGACAATGAACAGAGTGATGATGGTGATGAAGTTGTGTTACAGAATCCTGGTATATCGAGCAGGAACACTGCTAGTATAATGGGCAAAAACGGTCATCGCTGGAGTACCAAAATACCAGAACGCAGAGGCCGCACAACGAGAGACAATATTGTTTTACATATGCCCGGTCCTAAACAACAGGCGAGATTAGTTCGCTCTCCAATAGAAGCATGGGAGTTATTATTTAACCAAGAAATGTTAGATATAATTGTATTACACACAAATCAAGAAATTGTGCGTAAGTGTTTTGAAAACTTGCCACAAAGTTATAAAAAGCCAACTAACCTTGTAGAGATTAAAGCTTTTATTGGGCTTATCTATTTAGCAGGGGCCCTTCGACTACCAAATACGAATTTAGATGAATTATGGTCAATAAAGTACGGAAATGGATTATTTCGAGCCACAATGTCTCAACAGAGATTTCAGTTTCTAGCTCTCTGTTTACGATTCGATGATAAGAATGGTAGGGCTGCAAGAAAATTAGTAGATAAATTTACACATATCCGGCAGCTTTGGGAAATTTTTATTGAAAACTGTAAGTCGTATTACACTCCCTATGAAAATTGCACAGTGGATGAGCAACTTGTCAGTTTTCGGGGAAAATGTCCATTCAGAATATACATGTCTAGTAAACCCGATAAATATGGTATGAAAATAATGATGATGAACGACTCTAAAACTTTTTATATGGTTAATGCAATTCCATATATGGGAAAAGTTAATGTAGAGAATAATGAGCCAGTACATACTTATTATGTTCGGAAACTCTCAGAACCAATTCATGGAACCCACCGTAATATAACCATAGACAACTGGTCCACCTCTATACCTCTATGTGAGGAAATGTTCCATCAGTATAAATTAACAATCCTAGGAACACTGCGAAAAAACAAAAGAGAGATACCCACAAGCTTCTTAGGAAGAAAAGCAGTTGGCACGTCCCTTTTTGCTTTTGATCACAACAAAACGCTTGTTTCGTATACGCCTAAGCGAAATAAAGTTGTGCTTTTACTATCCACTTTGCATCCTGATTCATCCATTAATGTTGATACTGGAAAGTCAAACCTGATAGATTCATATCATGAAACGAAGGGAGGAACGGATAGTTTTGACCAGTTATGTCATTCTTACACGACATCACGCAAAACTAGAAGGTGGCCCGTGAGAATATTTTTCAATATGTTGGATGCCAGTGGAATTAATGCTATGATTATATTCTCTCTTGTGAATCCAGATTGGAAAGAAAATACTAAAAATAATCGTAAAACGTTTCTCAAAGAACTAAGTAATTCATTAATTGAGCCACATTTACGAGAGCGGGCACAAGTGACCACGCTGCGATCATATCTTCGGCTTAGCATTAGTGAAATTCTAGGAATGGATGCGCCACAAAGACAGCATCCAGCAACAGATTTGCCAAGAGAGGTTAGATGTGCAATATGTCCACGTGGTAAAGACAGAAAAACTAACTTTGGATGTTCTAAATGCTACAAACCATATTGTTTAGAGCACAGGGCTAAACTTTGCTGCCAATGTGAAGACACAAACTGAGTTTCATGGCTAAGAAATTTATTGAGGTGTATTTTCATTTTTCAACTTTTTTATGTTCTATAATGACTTTTTAGACAATAAAAATGTATTTAGCTTTTTAAAAGTTTTTTGTTGCATTTTTATTGATTACCTTCAGTTAATGTGCAATTTTATACTGATTTGTAATATTCTTTGTTCTAATACAATTAACGTTGAACCCAATGAACAAAATATTATTAAAATATTTTCTTCTACGAATTATCTGATGTATTTTGACATAAAAAGTAAAAATATAATAATAACATCCAACAAAAATACTTGGGTTTCTCAGACCCCAGTGTGCAGTTTATAGGATAAAAAATAAGTGTGCAGTTCCAGGGTTAAAATAACCAATAGGACTACAATTATATGACTTGGCGAAACATAATACTCGAAAGTCAGTGTATTCATTGTAATGCGTAATGCGTGTTCTCCTAAGATACCCGAGTTTGTACACTGTGAATATAAAACAACAATCATGAAAACTTCAGCTGTACGAGTAGGAGTCTTTGGTTCGATCAGTTGTATCAGTCTTTTAATAGTGCGTATACTTTTATTTTTCTGATTATTTTGTGCGAAAAATTGCCCAAGTTTAATATAACAATGAACTAGTGGACATAATACTAACATATACGGAGAGTGCCAACAAAATGCAGCCGCAGCATGCAGGTTGTATGCGGAAAGCTTTCCTTTACGAAATCATCCGGCCCCAGGACACAGGATGATCTGCCTAAATTATTAGTTCCTCTAAATATGTTCCTCTAAATGTGAGACAGAACATGTGGTTCGTACATGGCGGTGCTCCACATTTTAGACGAGAAGCTCATGAACATCTAAATAATGAGTTTCCGAATAGATGGATAGAGCGCAATGGACACATTTGTTGGCCTGCTCGCTCTACTGATTTAACGGCTTGCAATTTTTTTCTGTGGGGCTATTTGAAAGAGTTGGTGTATCATGATGAAGCAGTAAATACTCTGTAAGAACTTCAACAGTGCACTGAACATGCTTGTAATTTAATTCGTATACACCAAGATTTTATTTTCGAACGGTATTTAACTTGATAATAATTTTTAATAATGCAAACTAACTATCTTATTATGCAACTTTTATATAGGTGATTTTTGGTACATCAACTTCTGTTGACGAGTTCTACAAGCTGTTAAAATAAATGATTCAACTTTGAAATATCCTCCGAAACCTGTGTAAACTAATATTACTTATAGAAATAACGTTGAGACTGTCTCGCTATACGAAACGATTCTCTTTATCAATTAAAAAACTATAATGAAACTTTTTTTCAGCGCACAAATAAAGAAAAATCGGGAAAAGGAACAACGAAATCTACCGATTGAAGAAGGAAAACAGTCGTTCAGCTGCTATATTTGTAACTATACGAGCCATTGTAAAAACGGTTTGATCGGTCATATCAAAAGGAACAATTGCTATTTACGATCTAATTTGGGGAAATCACGATCTGTATCCAGAAAACAGTATCAGTATTGTTGTATCAAATGTAATAAGGTGTTCAAAAGCAAAACATCACTAGATAATCATTTGGTTAAAAATCATGTAGGATCTATGGCGTCAGTTTCATCTAAAATACATGAATGCACATCCAGTGATTTTAAAACCGCTTTCAAGTGTATAAACTGTGATGCTTCATTTAATACTAAACGACGCTTAGAAAACCACACTTTACAAAAACATCCTAAAATGCGTAAATGTACACATTGTGAATATAAAACTACATATCGACAATGTTTAGCTAGGCATATGATGAAACATACCGGAGCTAAGCTCAAGTGTACAAAGTGTGATGAGTCATTTACAACCACACAATCATTAAATCATCACATTTTGCGGAAACATCCTGATGTTGCTGCTTCTGTATCTTGTAAGATACATAAATGTACACATTGTGAATATAAAACTACATATCGACACTGCTTAACTACGCATATGATGAAACATACCGGAGCTAAGCTCAAGTGTACAAAGTGTGATAAGTCATTTACAACCATACTATCATTAGACGGTCACATTTTGCGGAACCATTCTGAGTTTACTGCTTCTGTATCTCGTAAGATACATAAATGTACACATTGTGAATATAAAACTACATATAAGGGGAATTTAGTTAGCCATATGGTGAAACATACTGGAGCTATGCTCAAGTGTACAAAGTGTGATAAGTCATTTACAACCACACAATCCTCAGATCATCACATTTTGCAGAAACATCCTGATTTGCTGCTTCTGTATCTTGTAAGATACATGAATGTACGCATTGTGAATATAAAACTACATTTCGACACTACTTAGCTAGGCATATGATGAAACATACCGAAGCTAAGCTCAAATGTACAAAGTGTGATGAGTCATTTACAACGATACTATCATTAGACGGTCACATTTTGCGGAACCATCCTGAGTTTACTGCTTCTGTATCTCGTAAGATACATAAATGTACACATTGCGAATATAAAACTACATATAAGGGGAATTTAGTTTGCCATATGATGAAACATACTGGAGCTATGCTCAAGTGTACAAAGTGTGATAAGTCATTTACAACCACACAATCATCAGATCATCACATTTTGCAGAAACATCCTGATTTTGCTGCTTCTGTATCTTGTAAGATACATGAATGTACGCATTGTGAATATAAAACTACATTTCGACACTTCTTAGCTACGCATATGATGAAACATACCGAAGCTAAGCTCAAATGTACAAAGTGTGATGAGTCATTTACAACGATACTATCATTAGACGGTCACATTTTGCGGAACCATCCTGAGTTTACTGCTTCTGTATCTCGTAAGATACATAAATGTACACATTGTGAATATAAAACTACGTATAAGGCGAGTTTAGTTAGCCATATGATGAAACATACTGGAGCTATGCTCAAGTGTACAAAGTGTGATAAGTCATTTACAACCATACGAACATTAGACCGTCACATTTTGCGGAAACATCCTGAGTTTACTACTTCTGTATCTTGTAAGATACATAAATGTACACATTGTGAATATAAAACTACGTATAAGGCGAGTTTAGTTAGCCATATGATGAAACATACTGGAGCTAAGCTAAAGTGTACAAAGTGTGATGCGTCATTTACAACCATACGAACATTAGACGAACACATTTTGCGGACACATCCTGAGTTTACTACTTCTGTATCTCGTAAGATACATAAATGTACACATTGTGAATACAAATCTCTACAAAAGCAGCACTTCACCAGACATATGATGAAACATACCGGAGCTAAGCTCAAGTGTACAAAGTGTGATAAGTCATTTACAACCACACAATCATTAAACGATCACATTTTGCGGAAACATCCTGGAGTTTACTACTTCTGTATCTCGTAAGATACATAAATGTACACATTGTGAATATAAAACTACATATAAGGCGAGTTTAGTTAGCCATCTGATGAAACATACTGGAGCTAAGCTCAAGTGTACAAAGTGTGATGCATCATTTACATCTACACAATCATTAAACGATCACATTTTGCGGAAACATCCTGAGTTTACTATTTCTGTATCTCGTAAGATATATAAATGTACACATTGTGAATACAAATGTCTACAAAAGCAGCACTTCACCAGACATATGATGAAACATACCGGAGCTAAGCTCAAGTGTACAAAGTGTGATAAGTCATTTACAACCACACAATCATTAAACGATCACATTTTGCGGAAACATCCTGATGTTGCTGCTTCTGTATCTTGTAAGATACATAAATGTACACATTGTGATATAAAACTACACATAAGGGCCATATGATGACAAATACTGGAGCTAAGTTCACGTGTACTTGTGCAAGAAAAGATTACTCAGACAACCACACTTTAGGGAAACAGCCTGAGCTTATCGCTGCTGAGAGCAAATTGAAAAAATCTCTGGATCGTACCAATTTCAATACGTCGAGTTATGATAACTATGAATGCTGTAATGTGGCATTTGATTGTAAATCGACATTTGATGATCACGTTATAAAAAATCATGCAGATATTATTCGATGAACTATAAAAAAATATCGCGTACTGATGATGGTTGCATTCATCAGAATATGGTCATACAGGATATCCTGAAAGTTGGGATTTTCATTTTAAGGAATAACAGCGTTTGAAATAACCATGCTAATGTGCGGTAAAATAGCAGCGAAAACGTAAGAAAGAAATTGAAGAAAAATACTCGCTATTCATATTTTCAAGTACAGCCCTGTCACATGTTTTGTTTGTAAACACTGCTTGACGTTGTCGTTGTTCGATTCAAAAACATGAGTTTGTTTAGTTATTTCTAAATTTGCAACATTTGGGGCTGTCTAGGTCTTCAACTGTGTCCAACCAGACGACTTTTGCACGATAAAAACATATATATATATATATACAGCTCTGATGAAAAAAAACGTGGAGGACGACGGCAACGTTCCGAGTGCACTCGTCAGATAAAGAATAAGTGTAAACTTTAGTGAATCTAAGTTTGATTAAGACTTCTTAAGTTTATGTGGAAAATTTTTAAATGTATTAGAGTAGTATTAGTATATTAGATGTATTAGATTCAAAAATCGATTGAATCAAGATATTCAGTCTGCATATACTTATAAACTGGGCATTTTTGATCTGTTGGTACATGCTCGGTGTTATATATTTTTTTTATATTTCTGATTAAAATATATGTAATTTGCACATTTATTTCCTTCATTGTTGCATTGGCGACTTTCATGATTCCCTCCACATCTGATGCACACCGTATTATTTCTACATTTATATGAAGTATGGTGAAATCTAAAACATTTGTTACATTGTGTGATTTGGTTATGATATACAGGGTGACTTCGAAGTTGAGTCATTTATTTAACAGTGAGTAGATCTGATCAAAAGAAATGTTTTTTCCTTTACCATTTTTCTGGTAAAATTAAAGTAACAAAGTTATAGCCCTTTGGAAGTTTGAGTACCGCCCTGTCTCAATCATAATATTATGTGCTCGTGTTTGGCGACAACGGATATAATCCGCCGTATCGGTTCATCGCATCGGAAACAAAAAAGCGAAAGAATTTGGAACGATGTTTTTACAATTATTTCGTTCATTTGTATACAGTCAGTGTCAGTGAATAGTGGTATCTGTTGCGTGGCTCAACAAAATAAAAAATGGCACATGTTTATGCGGATCGGTTTCCCAATCGAGTGCAACCAACCCCTCGTGCCTTTGTTAATGTAGTACAACGGGCTCGTGAATCAGGTGACTTAAGACCTCACAGGGGACCTCACGATCAAATACAGGTCCGCACTGAAATACTTGTCGGGAGGATACCTTATAAAACAAGGTAAACATTTTTTTTATTTTTTTTTTATTTTTACACACATATTTTGGTTTATCTTCCTTCTACAATCATTATCTGAAAATTAATGACTCAACTTCAAGTCACCCTGTATACATTCAAATTCTGCCAATCTAATAATATTTTACCATTATTTCATCTGTGACGGATCTATATGTTTTTTCCATTCACTTCTGCAAATAAGTATAATAATTTTTTAAGTGATTCTTTCTTATATAAGTAATTTTGATATAATTTTCTTCAAAGAAGTGATTTTGTCTAATAATACTTTCCTTGAGGCTTGTTTCAGTAGGTGGTTCTTCACTTCTGTAGCCGACAATTTTGATTCTTGGTAGTTTCTTTCTTGTGCTATAACATTGTATTTTCTTGATAACTTTTTTTCCGATTTCATTTTTCAGTGTAGTGAGGTATTTTCTTCTAGTTTCAATTCGATTCCTCCTTTTTTAGTGTGTTTATGTTGGTCTAATTGTTACTTTCAATTTCGATAGGTCAACTTTTTATTTAAATCTTTTTTTTGTCTCAAGTATTTGTTTGTTCTTTAGTAGGACTCACGCATAGTGTTTTTAGGGGTGGTTGTTGTATGACTAGTTCTGGCTGTTATTTGGCTATATGATCGCGTGGTTTTATGCCACTCGATCAACAGCTTTAATCTATCTCCCATATTTTCGACTTATAATGCATTATATTGTTCGTACCCTTCTTGTAGTCTTTGTTTTCTTTTTCTAATTGTAATATGTATTTTTTTTTTTCCAACAGTAATACATTGTTTTGTTCAATTATTCTTTTTAGTTCCTTATTTTGAGTTTTAATTTGGTCTATCAAGTTGGTTTCATTATGGCTATTACACGTTGTTTCAATAACTTCATCTTCACTTTCACTTTGATTATCGTTCAGGGTTTTATTTTTGTTTTTCCCTTACTTCTGGTCATTGATTTCTTCTTGATATGTAAGTCTCTTAATTCACACCCCGTATTGTGATTACCCTTGATTAGGTACAGCTTTCAATGACAAAGTTACCACAAATGTCAGATTTTCGCGAAAATATAGTTGCGAAAATGCCCTTTCTACGGAATATCTGAGCTCCCAACAGAATAACCAGTCTAGCGGGTCTTCACTGGGCCATGGAATCCGGCGATGGTATTTTATAGACTCTTCTTATAACAGTTTTGGAAACATCGACGTATACTTTATCTGAAGTCACTTGAAACACTGTGAAATACCGGGTGCGTTTTATATATCTATATTTAACACGCTCTGTTGCTGCAAAAATCGCCAAATTTCGCAGCAAATATCCCCCGTATAAGATCAAAGGCACTTTCACCGGTTCACGTGGAGTAAAGCACGCCTATGCGTGGACATAGCCAATGAGAAAGCGTGTATTTCAGAGCTCGGAACAAGTGCAGGTGGCTACTGAAAATTGAAACAGTTTAGCCAGTGCCGTGTAGCGGTGAATAAACGTGTTTTCTTTAGTCTGTCCGTGTTTTTTCATAGATTTTATTAGTTTGTGTGTTTTTGACTTTTGAATACTCAGTTTACTTGTTGATTTAATTGTTGTGTTGATTGTTCTTGTGTTTCCTAAATATGGCTCTTTGGAGACTTGGGAAAATGCTCCAAGCCACGAGGAGATGGTTGATGAACCTGTGCAGGCAGAATTCTTTCATAAAGATTTAGAGGAACAGACCCAAAGAGTAATCCTAAATATGTATGATTGTCTGAAAAACGAAAATCCAGATTCCTCGCAAAATCAAATTTTAAACAGAATTTGTATCCTGACAAAAATCAGTCGGTCTACCATTTATCGGGTTATAAAAAGGGGAGATGTAGACAACCATTCCTTCCACAGAAAGCGCATAGGGCAAAAATTAAAAAGAATAGACGTGGGTTTTCAGGAAGATATTCGTCGTATAATATACGGATTTTATAAAGAAAATTTGGTGCCCACGTTGGAAATGAT